AGTCGCAGCGGAAGAAAGCTAGGCTGGAGAGAGACGCCCAGCTCTGGAGACGTAGATGAGAGAAGATAGGAAGAGAGATTCCAAGAATATTAGAATTAGAGACGATCCAAGGATGATACAAGAAAAGCTATGAGAGAGATATTTATGCTAGGGAGAATGAGCGCGGCTCGGGAGGAAAGCCCGCGTCGCCACGCTTTCAGCATGGCATCTTGACATAGCGCCTCGATGCCATGCCCTGCTGGATTTCTAGTAGCTTCCAATAGCTGATGAGGATACGAAAGTATGCTCCGAGGGTAACACCTATCCTTATTCGGAGCTAGCTAGGTAGAGGGAGTTCTAACCGTTCGGGTGTTCCCATGCATGCAAGCATGGCGAACCCTGTCTGTTACAGTCACACACTAGCTGTGTCAGCAGACATGCACAGGGTTGCGACGTCGTCACTGGATGCTGGACGACGCGACGACAGCATTTGTGGCGCGCCAACTCCGCCTACGCGCCCCCAGCACGCGGGGTAACTGGCGGAATGGGAGCCGGGGCCACCCCGGGCATGGTAGGTGAGGAAAGTAGAACGAGAATGTGATAAAATTAAAAGAGAGAAGAAGACTGCACTAGCAAGAATGGGGATACAAATAGGAAACCCTAGAAGGGTTCTACTCGCTATAGAGCACCCCACTACAGGCTAGACTATAAGATAACATTCTGACACACCCCCATAGCCAAAGTGGGGTGTAATCAGCAGAGCACGCAAAGTAGTACAAGCTCAGGGTGGATCACAATGTCACCACACATTCTGAGCACAAGTTCAAGAAGCAATAGTTTAAAGTTCACAATTATGAGCAAAGCTAGTGGTAGTCACAACGGGCAAGTGAGGAGGAGGAGAGAGAGTGAGAGGAGAGGAGAATAGGAGGCGACGGATGAAGCTGCAGACACACGGGCAACAGGAGGCACACTGGCACAGCGGCTACCGGAACAACGCTCCGGAATACTGGAGTAACTGGCCCCGCGGCTAAAGTAGCGGCAGACGAGCAACGGACCCACGGGCGGCTGGCACAGCTGGCTACGACTGGGCTACCGGACGAAGTCCCCGGAATACAGGTGCTGCTGGCGACACGACGGCAAACCTCCATTCAGCTTCCCCAAACTATCCCACTCCCTCTAGCACACACCCACTGCTACACCGCTAGCTCCACTCCCCCTTCACCCCCCCTTAGTACCACTCCACCGGCTCCAACACGTCCACCCCCCCTCAGCGACAGCTGCAGCACAGGGGAGACGGAGGAGGAGGAGGAGCAGGGGAGACCACACACCCGCCACCCCCACGCGGCCCCCCTCAGGTCGCCTCGACTGGCGACGGGAAAAGGGGGGGGGGGGGGGCGGTGCACTTGCCGTAGGTAGGGCGACGGGGCCGGGCCGTAGGTAGGGCGACGGGGCCGGTACGCAGGTAGGGCGGTGGGGCCGGGGTCGGAGGTGGGGCGACGGGGCCGGGGTCGCAGGTAGGGCGACGGGGCCGGGCCGGGGCGCAGGTAGGGCGACGGGGCGGGGGCCGTAGGTAGGGCGACGGGGTGCGACGCGCGGGTCCCCGTCGCCCGTCGCAGCGCCTCCCGGGGGCGACGCGCCGAGTGACGGGGAGCGACGCGCGGGTCCCCGTTGCCCGTCGCAGCGCCTCCCGGGGGCGACGCGCCGAGTGACGGGGTAGAAACCTGTCGCGCGCCTCGGGGCGCACGGCGGGCAGAAAACCGCCGCGCGCCTCGGGGCGCACGGCGGGCAGAAAAAACTGCCGCACGCCACGGGGCGTGCGGCACAGAGAGTAGCAGTGGCAGTTGCAGTGGAAGCAACGAGGTGGTGAGCCCACCCACAGGATCGATCCAAGGGGATCGACCTGCTCTGATAGCACGAGGAAAGTAGAACGAGAATGTGATAAAATTAAAAGAGAGAAGAAGACTGCACTGGCAAGAATGGGGATACAAATAGGAAACCCTAGAAGGGTTGTACTCGCTATAGAGCACCCCACTACAGGCTAGAGCATAAGATAACATTCTGACACAGTAGGTGACAGGTGATCCATCCCGTCTTCCAGGATGCGGATAGTGTTGTCGCGGCGGAAACTCCAGCCGCGCCTTTCGGAATCCCAGAAAGGGCCGTGCTCAGTGGAGCGGCGGATTATCACGCTATGCATCCAGCGCTTGATGCGCTCATGATACCAGCGCACCCCTTCCTCGTTCTGTGGAGCGCTGCGCTTCAGAGAGCCACCGCTGACAATGGGAAACTCAACATGCACAGGGCGGACCGGTCAGAGTAAGCAAGACAAATTGCACAGGAGATTGTCAGCTGGGCGTGTTAACACAATCCACTTACTCCAAACAACCAGAAGGCCACGTGATAGGTGCGGATGAGCAGCCGGTGGTGGGATTGGGCGCCGAAACGAGGCGAATATGGCGCGCTCAAACTTCTCGGTTGCAAAAGGAATTCCCGCCGCGTTGCGATGCCACGGGTTGCAGCTCGAAACTTGCAGGCCCTGACATACGCAATTCAACAACGGCCAATCAACATACACGCAGACCTCACAAAGTCTAGAGAGAATGGCGCCGAATGAACCGCATAGGGTGCGAGGTTTTTACAGGGAAAAGCACGCTCACCGGCAGGGAAATGTTCTATGAATTGCTTGCGAGAGATGCGTGGCACCTCCAGCGCGCTCGGAGTTGCTGGAAGAGAGATGCGCGGGTTGGAGCCAGACTTGTATGGCAGTCCATGCAGGATGTACACGTAAGCCCGGCCCTGCTCCCATTTGGTGTTGCGCGAGACCTGCATCTGGCGGGTAATCCACCCCGCCCGCTTCTCGTCGTGCGCCAGCAACATGTGGAGCATTGTGCGGTGCGCAGAGCTGGTGATACGCAGAGCTATACATCAAAGAGGCGTTCGAGCAGGGATGGCGGCATCCAAAAGGTGAGCTGTGCGACGGACGTGTCGTACGTCAATATCTTTATCATGTCCTCGACAACGGCCTGAATGCGAAGGGAGGCCACGAATAAAAACAGGAATGTGTCACATAACATCTATACATCAGAATCACAGCCCTTCTTAAGCATCGAATAAAAGCATCTGCAGAGCAATCTCGGCGTCTACCTTGAATCCGTCATCCATCGACGGAAACATAACGTGCGCTTCCTGTAAGCGGTCGGCCCAGTTCACCATCCCGGGTGTGGCGCGACCCCCCGTATTCGCCTATCGGATCTCGCGCGCAAGCGTACGTTCCACCATTGGCGACCTTGGCTCCCCCGTCGCATTAGCCTGGCGGGAGCTGACCCGGCCCGCCGCTGTGCGCTGGCGACACGGTGTGGGCTCGTCCACAGCCGCGTCATGCGCGCGGCTGGGCCGGTTTGTTGCACGCGGAGAAGCGGGGCGCGCGGCAGCAGCTCGATTCCCCTCAAGCCTCTCAATGGTCTGGTTCAGCTCGTGAATGCGCCGTTCCTGTTCTGCGACCCGCCCGGCAATCGCGTTGTCAAGGGCAGCGCCGGGGTTGCCTGGTGCATTTGCTGAAGCGGTTCCACGACGGTTCAATGTCGGGCCACGTCCACCGGGGCGTTGTTCCTCGGACGTTGCCTGCGTGGAGGACGCGATCACCTCGGAGAGTGGGCGAACCTCGCGCTGCTCCGCTGCGAAACACGGGGGAGGGGGGGGGGGTGGGGGGAGGCGGACGGGCGGATGGAAAGCATGAAGTGGCATGGGTTGGTCGACAGAGCGGCCCGATATGATTGGTTGCGCTTGAGTGCACATAGCGGCAACGTCGCGAGGTAAAGCAGGGTTACCCTCCGCATCCTCGTCCACAGGTTCCTCTTCCGGCATCCAGTTGTCTTCTTCCTCATCGTCGTCTTCGACGTCCAGGCGCTCATCCTGGCGGTCCGCCCACGGCAAATACTTCGTATCGGTGTCCGGGTCGTCGCCGCGCGCGCCCGCAATAGAGGGCGACGGTCCACGAGCATGGCGAGCGTTGGGGGGTGAGGAGGAGGTTCCAGGCCTGTAGTACACCATATCGTCGCTGGGCGCAGGCACGCCGGCGGTGCTACGGGCAGAGCGCCTTACAGGTGAGTACGGGGAGGTCGCGGGCTCCATGGTCAGGTGCACGGAGGTTGCTTAATGTGTTTAGAGATGTTCTGATAATGCCACGCAATGCTGGTCATAAAATAGCCGAGCTGTGGCACGCGTTGTCAATAACGGATAAGGTACCCCAGTTGCTGCAGCTTTAGTCGTGCTGGCGAGTTCATCTCGAAAGATCTGCGCGTGCACCAATGATAGTGCGCCCAGATTCTGAGAAACCAATCTTCCCCATCGTTGCGTAGCACAACCATGACAGCGCGGCTGGCGTTGTGCCAGATATTTCGATGGCGGTCCAAATGCCCTATCCACGATGGATAGGAGAATGCCCGGGGAGATATGCCCGCTGGTGACGTGGCACACCACCCATGTCTGCTCCCTTCATGGTTCGACGGCATACGGTGGACCAGCCTACAGGCCACGCCGGGTATGAACCACCTGATGACTTACAGTTTACGTCTGAGGCTCTGCCACGCAAATCCCTGTGTCTCGTGTATGAGCCTACTTTCTTTTGTGAATGGCTTGTAATTCACTATGCCAGCATGGAGCTATTACATGGCGTAACGTAAACAAAACCAAAGCACGGTGACATATAATTTCTAATCAATTGCAACGTGTCCTCTCACAGCCTGAACTCAGGCAGGTCGTCGTCCGGCCTATTAAGGTCGTAATCCTGACATACGAGCCTATATAAAGGCACTTTGCTTGCACCAGCAGGGATGTCCCACGGGTAAGTGCACATGTTCTTACCCATGTTCCCCCACCAAAAGCGACACCCATCCGCAGGGATCTTCCACCAGGCAAGCATACCCATTGCGTGCGCCAGCACGCCGGCTCCCATGCCGTCAACCCCGCCGACGTGCGAGAACTGCCTGTACGCGAAGAGCTTTGGCTGCTCGATCTTGAACTGACGATATACCTGGCGAGCATCCCGTGCGCGGTGATAGTTGAAAAGGCCATTCTCCAACTGCGTACATGTAAAGTTACCGGAAGTGAGCGACGCACGGATGGGAACAATCGATTTTGCCGGCCGCTTCAACTTACCACCCACCCCTCGCTCATTGCGAAGTGCATCAGGTACGTTTGATAGTCATGTATGGGCGGCCTGCTAGCCACAAGATCGTGCAAGCCGGTTGCATCGTAGTTCACATTCCGGTGCCCGTTCTTCACCATGCCCACAAAAGCATCAGCGACAGCGTGAACGTTGGGGGGTCGCGGTGGTCGCGCAGCACTGCGAGAATACACGCTTTGTCGATGAAAGATAACGACAAGCCCGGGCCGCCTCCCACAATGCCTGGGTTCCTTCCGTTCTTTGGGATGATGCGCTGACGTGTCGGGCCGGAACAAGATGCTGTATGCTCTCGGTTAACTTCCGGGGTGTGGGGTTACAACCATTGTCGACGATGCGGTTGAATTCGGCTTGCATCATTGCCGCGACAATCTCAGGATAGTCGCGAACGAGGACAGGAACAGAGGGGGGGCGTGTGATACACGTGCGGACCCGTGGCCATTTAGGACCTTTGTAACCTGTTGACTCGTATCGCTGGCTACCATCTCTGGCGCAGCGCCACACCTGTGGCTTGGTTTCAGTGCTATCAGGAAGCGCGGAAGCCATGGCTTGCATCACATTGCTAGTTGGCAATGGAGCAACCAACATGGCAGAGCTGGCTGGTTTTGTACACCCAGCACTATGTACACCCAGCAGCTGCATGGGTTGTGGTACATAGTCGCTCATTTATTCCAATAAGCGTGCTGTAACCACCTATCAATTTTCATTTTTTCTTGAAAAAAGGGCCATGTACTACTTGACCGTAAGAAGGGCAGATTACGAGCAAGGTATCAAGCTTTGTGCTGCCCCTTTTAAACGAAACCAATTGAGGATGCACCATCCTTAGCAAAGTGTTCCAAGGTTGCCCCTTCTCCCAGCAAAGCATTCACCGTAGTTTTGGCCTGGTTCGATTTTCCACACCCTTATCACCAGTTATCACCATCCCTCTGTTTTGTGCTCCGGCAATCTCTTATGTCATCATCTTGCCGTGCTCTCACCATTCTCTCCGTCAGAACATATAGCTTGTGCTTATTGTGTAGGCTATAGTGGGGTAGCCCATAAAGGGTACAACCCAATTAGGGTCAGTACTTGTACTCAGTTCATTCATAGTTCATTCATTCTCGTTTCTACTTTCTCATGGTATCGAGCAGGTTCCCTCGTGGGAACTGTGCCTAGGGCCCACCAAGTCAATTTTTTTTTCCTGCCCGGAGCGCGCTCAGCCCGAGTCGCGCTCCCCTCTCTGACTTCGTCGAGCCGCCTTAGCGGCCCCTGATTCGTCACCCTACGGCCCCGGCCCCGTCGCCCTACCTGCGCCCCGGCCCCGTCGCCCTACCTGCGCCTCGGCCCCGTCGCCCTACCTGCGCCCCGGCCCCGTCACCCTGCCTGCGCCTCGGCCCCGTCGCCCTACCTGCGCCCCGGCCCCGTCGCCCTACCTGCGCCCCGGCCCCGTCGCCCTACCTGCGACCCGGGCCCCGTCGCCCCCCCCTTGCGACCCCGGCCTAGTCGCCCTACTTGCGGCCCGGCCCCGGCCCCGTCGCCCTACCTTCGACCCGGCCCCGTCGCCCTACCTACGGCCCGGCCCCGTCGCCCTACCTACGGCCCGGCCCCGGCCCCGTCGCCCTACCTACGACCCGGCCCCGGCCCCGTCGCCCTACCTTCGACCCGGCCCCGTCGCCCTACTTGCGGCCCGGCCCCGGCCCCGTCGCCCTACCTGCGCACCGGCCCCGTCGCCCTACCTTCGACCCGGACCCGGCCCTGTCGCCCTACCTACGACCCGGCCCCGGCCCCGTCGCCCTACCTTCGACCCGGCCCTGGCCCCGTCGCCCTACCTTCGGCCCGGCCCCGGCCCCGTCGCCCTACCTCCGACCCGGCCCCGTCGCCCTATCTACGGCCCGGCCCCCGCCCCGTCGCCCTACCTACGACCCGGCCCCGGCCCCGTCGCCCTACCTACGGCCCGGCCCCGGCCCCGTCGCCTTACCTTCGCACCGGCCCCGTCGCCCTACCTTCGACCCGACCTCGCCGTCCTACCTACGGCCCCGCCCGAACGCCTACACAGCTGAGCCGCCCACGCCGCTACGCCGCCCGAGCCGCCCAAGCCGCCCGAGCCGCCCGAGCCGCCTGAGCAGCTGAGGAGCCGAGCCGCGGGTGCCGCTGAGCTGCAGTTGCTGCCGAGCCGCCCGAGCTGCCTGTACCGCCCTGTCTGGTGAGCGCAGCGCCTCTGTCACCGCACTACCCCTGCTCTACAGTTAGCCCTGCTAGTCTACTACTGTCATGGCTACCCCCAGTGTTCTCACTTTTGACGCTGAGGGTCGGGCCATTGACTTTGACGTCTGGGTAGATGACCTGCAGCTTTTCTTACATTGCGATAGGGCAGACGGTCTCTCCCTCTTTGACCTCGCCTCTGGTGCTTCCCCTGCCCCTGCTGCCGATGCCGACGCCACCGTTCGCTCACAGTGGGCCACTCGCGATGCTGCTGCACGTCTTGCTTTGCGTCGCCACCTTCCTACCACTGAGCGCGCGCACTTTAGTCAGTACAAGAGTGCTCAGACCTTGTACGACGCTGTAGTTGCACGCTAATCTTCCCCTGCCACTGCTGCACTGAGCCGCCTCATGCTACCGTACCTCTTCCCTGACCTTGCTGCCTTTCCCACAGTCGCTGACCTCATTACGCACCTCCGCACTAGTGACACTCGCTACCGCGCTGCGCTTCCTGCTGACTTCTGCGCCAAGAACCCCCCCCCCCCATGTACATCACTCTCTACTACATAGTCACTCGCCTCCCTGACTCCCTTCGCGTAGTTAGGGACCACTTCCTCTCAGTCTGTCCCACCACTCTCATTGTTGACCTCCTCGAGAAGTCCCTCCTAGCGGCCGAAAAGAGCATAGTCGCTGTAGGGGCCTCTCGTGGTGACCCGCGCACCCCCATCTTTGAGGGGTGTTCCCCCTCCCCCCTTCTGCCCTACTTTGCCTCTACTGCTGCGGGTGACCTCCTTGGTCTTGAGTTGGTCGGTGCAGCGTCTGCCCCTAGCGGGAGACGCCGCTCTGGCAAGGGCAAGGGGGGTAGGGGCGCTGGAGGAGCGAGCGGGGGCGGTGGAGGTGGAGGTGGAGGCGTCGGGGGGAATGGGGGTGGTGGTGGGAGTGGAGGTGGGGGTGGAGGTGTCGGTGGCGGCAGTGGAGGCGGAGGCGGCGGCGGCGGGGGCGGTGGGAGCGGAGGTGGCGGAGGTGGTGGCGGTGGAGGAGGCGGCGGAGGCGGCGGTAGTAGCGGAGGCGGCGGAGGCGGCGGGGGTGGCGGTGGAGCTGGTCGCGGGTCTACGGAGAGGAGTGGCTTCGGTGGTGGTCCGCGCCAGCAGCAGCAGCGCGGTCGTGAGACCCTGTCCCCTCAGCAGCTCCGTGAGTGGTACACTGCACGCCAGCGGGGTGGGGGTTTTGGTCCGTGCACCTACGTCGTGCGCAACGGCGACCGTGCGGGTGAGCAGTGTGGGGGTGCGCACCCCACCCAGCGCTGCTTTGGCCGCCTGACGGACGAGTGGCGTCACCAGTTCCCGGAGGCCACAGAGATCCCTCGCTGGGGCGAGCTGTCTAGGGCGGGAGTTGCCATCTATGATCTTGATTTTGATGCTATCCTTTCTGCCATGTATGCTGTGTCTATTAGTGATGAGGGTGACTGTTACCGGTGTTTCCCGCCTGATCCGGGCATTGAGACTGCTGCTCTAGGTCCGGGTGAGGCAGCTGCCCTAGGTGCTTGCGACGCTGCTGCTCTAGGTGCTAGTGCGTCTGCGCCCTCAGGTACTGGTGAGTCTGCGCTCTCAGGTACTGCGTCGGCTTCGGCCTCCCTCACCTTCACCCTTGACTCTGGGGCTTCTCGCTCCTTTCGGGACCGCACCACACTCACGCCGCTTAGTCGGCCTGTTGCGGTGTCTCTGGCTGACCCCTCTGCGGGTCCTGTCCTGTCTCACTTCTCCACTGTCCT